CCCGGGTGGGAGATGGGGGAATGGGATATCCCGGGTGGGAGATGAGGGAATGGGATATCCCGGGTGGGAGATGGGGAGAACGGGATATCCCGGGTGGGAGATGGGGGAACGGGATGTGCTGGGTGGGAGATGGGGGAACGGGATGTCCTGGGTGGGAGATGGGGGAATGGGATGTCCTGGGTGGGAGATGGGGGAATGGGATGTCCTGGATGGGAGATGGGGGAATGGGATATCCCGGGTGGGAGCCGCAGGGAGCTCCCCAGGACAGGGCAGTGGGAGCACTGGGGACGCAGTGGCCGCTGTTGCCCCTGAGTGTCCCCACGGAGGGATCTCCCGAGGATGCACCTGGCCCTGCTGACCCTCACTCCGGGCCCCGCTGTCCCCTCGGCCGCTGAGGCCACCTGTGCTGCCCCCACACCCCACACTCGCCCTGGGCTGAGCTGTGCTCTGCAGTAACGTCTGCTCTGCTTCCCTCCTCACCAGGTCTGCAGCACTCCGACCCTGACTGTAAGATCCCCATCTTTCCCTGCTAACAAAGCCTAATTTTACCATGTGGTGTTTTTGTTGGACAGGACTTTAGGAGTACTTTACACGTGTGACATTTTTCCCCCCAGGTTTTAGAGATAATACATGTCCTAGTGCTGACAGAGGTGGGCCCTCTCAGGTAGAGACTAAAACCTGCTCCGATGCTGACACAGAGGAGACAGCATCTGTCACAGTTAAGCATGTTCCAGAATTCTCCAGTGATGAGGTTAGCCCACAGGACAGCTCCAGGGCAGAAGGCTTTCAGGCCAGCCAGGAAAACCTGTGCTGTGGGAACACCAGGCCTGTCCCTGTGGAGAAAAAGCCCCAAACCTCCCGAGGAATGATGAAGCTGCGGAGACGGACGAAGGCTCTGGAATCAAAGGAAAGGGAATCGGTGCATGGTGTGCATCTAATCAGTGCTGGTGAAATGATGAAAAATCAAATTGCCAGTGCAGAGGAGCTTCAGTCACCAGTGTTCAGGCGCAGCAGCCTCTTGCACACTGAGGAACCTGCTCAAAGGGCACCTGGGGTGGTGCTTGTGCAGGGAGAAAGAAACAGTCCTGATGCAGCATCTGGATCCCCACGTGCCCCACATCCCCACATGAGGGACAGCAGGGACATCTGGCAGCCTGAGTCCTCAAGGGCTGTGGCCACACCTGAGAGATGTGAGCCACGTTCACAGCACGGAGCCTCTGTTTTACCTGACCCCAGAGGTGATGGCAGAGAAGAACCCCCCAGTATAATAAAACAGCCAGAGGTTCAGAGTTTGTGTGAAGATCAGGGAGAATTATGTGGGCTTCTGGATTTAATGTCAGAAAACGAAATATTGCCTGACAGCAGAAATAACACCATAACTGAGGAGAGCAAGAACCACGAAGGACATCAAAGTGACACTAATACCTTAAATCCCTGTCCTGCAGCTAATGCTCTGGACAATGCTGAAGAATTCTTGGAGAATCAACAGCTTGAAATTCAGTCAGGGCTTCCTCCTGACGAGGCAGCAGCTCCTGAGGGCTCGCTGAGCTCTTGCACGGTGGTTGAAGGGCTGCTCTTCCCTGTTGAGTACTACGTCCGGACAACGCGCCGCATGTCGAATTGCCAGAGGAAGGTGGACCTGGAGGCTGTAATCCTCAGCCAGCTGGGCAGGAGCAAGAAAGGTCAGCGGAGTAAATGCAAGCAGAAAGATGCAAAGCCCAATCAGCCCTCTCAGGAGAGAGCTGAGGATGATTTGGAGCCAGGGGTTGTGCCCTTCCCTTTTCTAGGGGCAGAAAACAATCAAGCAAGCTCGAGTAGTTCTCAGAAATCTCTTCCTGCATCCAGCAGCAGCAGCAGCACTTCTCTTGAATCCATTTCTCAGAAAAGCATCACTAGCACAAGGCAAGAGCAAAGACAACCCCAGAGGAAACAGAAGGGAAGAAGAAAGTCTGCCTGCAAAGCCCCCATGCATCCAGTGTCACAAGAGCTTATAGAGAGTCAGGATCCCACAGTGGCCAGCGAGAGCAGTGCTCTGCTCTCAAATGAGAACCAGAGTGAAAAGGAAAACTGTGATGCTAACCTTGAAAGGTCATCCTCAGATGAGAGGAGGTTGTGTGGTGCTGCAGGGACAGGAGTGACTGGAGCTACACGGCCAGCAGGTCCTGATCCTCCTGCGGGCAGGAGCCCAGCGCCAGGCAGATGCCACAAGGCTTTGTTAGGGCGGGTCCAAACTCCCCGCCACAGCAGCGATTCCCTGAGCCCGGGGGGTGACACTTTCACCAGCCCTGTGGGAGATGTGGACGCCAATGCTCCTGTGTGCCAGGGAGATAAACCTCCAGGGCAGCGTGTGACGAGGCAGCGAGGAGCCGGTGACAGTGGGGTCAGTGTCCCTGTGCGCCGCTCCCTGCGCTGCTCTGCGAGACACGGGGCCCAGACAGGCTCAGCAGGTACTTCCTCACATATGAACTCCCCAAAATACCCCATTCCCCAAGGCAGGGAACACCCCTGTGAGTGCAGGCCCTGCTGTCCACACCCTGCCGTGTTTATGCAAGAAAATACAATAGGGGTTAACTATTATTCTTTTAAAAATTAGATTTATTTTTTTAAAATAGATCATTGCCCGTGTTCCTTGAACAATTGCAGAAACTTGTGCAGGTAATGAACAGAGGAGGAGCAGGGCTGGGAGCTCACTGAGCTGCCCTTGCTGTTGGAGTGAAGGTTGTGAGCACTAGGGCTGGTTTACCAGCAAATGGATGTTCATCTTTTCCTCCAGCTGTGGCTGCATGCTAATGATTATTTTCTCCTTTCTGAGGGTCTGTGAATATTGTGAAAAGAGAAAGTGTTGGGAGAAAACCAATAAACCAAATTGGCTGGGCACTCAGGCATATCTGTCAGGCTTTGGTGGTGGTCTTTGAGCTGAAGGCTTGATCCAAAGATACAGAGAAACTGCAGAGTGTAGTGTCTTTCCAGAAAAGTGCCACTTCCCTGTGTTAAGATGAATATGGTGTTTTGATTTTTTTTAAAAGACACCGTTCATGAGATATTCTGAAAAGGCAAGTTGCTGGTTGTTTTATGATGGGATGTTCTGTCTTGTATTCTTGTGTTTAGATGGCAGCAGCAGAGGACGCAGCTGTCCCGTGGGTTCCCAGGGCCCTGCTGCCCTCGGGCTCCCTGCTCTCGACCCCAGCACTCGTGGCTCCCTCTTCTCCTTCCGCAGCCTCCAGTGGCTGATCCCTAAGCTGGGCATCAGGGACTTCCACCTACCAAATGAGGAATTTGGAGTGCTGAAACTAGAGAAATTGAAATCTTGCCCTGTGAATGACTTGGAGGATTTTGTGTCTGGGGATGGTGTGGCTCCAGAGGACACACCAGATGCACAAACAAAGACAAAAGAAAAAAGTCTCAGGAGTAATTTGATTTTGCCTTCCAAACTTGGATTGCCTGAACTTCCTTGCATGGAAAGCCTGACTTCCAAGAAGGAGCTTTCCACCCATGAATTGCTATTTACTCCCATGGGGACTGTCTTAGCTGAGGCTCCCACTCACCCTGAGTCTCAGATTTCCTCGTCTGTTTTTCCTGCTGTGGGTGCAACCCCAGATGTTTTACCTTCAGTGCACAGTGAGGTCTTCCCTGACACATCTGTACCTGCCTTGCCAGCAACCCCATCTTCCCCCAGAGGGGCAGCTGCCCTGGTCCTGGGGGATGTGGCACACAGAGACCCTGCTGTGCCACTGCACCCTGACAGCTGTGCTGCAGGGGCTGCCAGAAGCCAGGAGGAGCAAGGTACAACAGTTCCTTCAGCAGCTGAAAGAGGTCCTGAGAATAAATCTGATGAGACTGTGTCCTTGGAGAATCATCAGCAGTCAGAGAACAAAGAGCAGGAATCCTGCAGAGCTTCACCTGAACAGGTAGCAAGCTGAGATCTTTGTGAAGGGTACTAAGCCAGTGGTTTTGTGGGCAAATCCTTTTTCCAGAGTCCTGTATGACTTCAGGGAAGAGTTCTCTTTGCATGGATCATAGCAGTGGCATTCAGTATCTGCATGAGTGACAGAGAATATGCAACAATTTTCCTCATTCTTACAAGTTCTGAATATCATTTCAAAGTTGAATTATCCTCATTCTTTCCTTTGTTCATGCAGAAAAAAGATGTAGCAGAGCAGTTGACTCCAGTGCTGCTGGATGGCCCCAGAGAAGAGAGCTTGCAGTTTGTGTCAGAGCTGAAGGTGAGAGAACAGCAGGGAATTGTTACCGTGGCAGCCTCAGCTCCACAAGAGCGAGTTTAACAAAAGTGCAACAGGTAATGTTGTCTGTCAGAGGAAAAGCAGCAGTGGTTTGTGTTGGGCAGGATTCCTCGTGCTCGTGTGCCGTGGATGTGAGCACGGTGTGGTGGGCAGCAGCTGGCCGCAGGGAGCTGCGAGTGGTCACTGCCTCCGAGAGCGCCGTGGCCCTCTGGGAGCCCCTGGCACCCGACTGCTGGGGCAAGGTCTACACCTGGCACCTCACAGAGGTACGAGCACACTCCTTGTTCCTAGAGTTACGGGCGCTTTTCTTGCCCCACGTGTTAGTTCCCAAGTTACGAGGAGCTTGTAGCTTGTATGTTTATGTGTTACCTACTGGAATTTAATACCCCATGCACAGAATGGCAGCTGCACTTCACTTGTGCTTTTTCCCCTTACAGTCCCTGGAGACACGTTTTGTCTCTTGAATCAACAGGGATTGTTTAATTAGGCAACCAGTCAGCAGAGAGTTCAGCTGTTCATTTAAGTGTGCTTCTTGAGAAGGGTCTGAAAATCAATTCTGCTCCACATCATTTTACTTGAAACATTCTAGAAAATGAGAGCAAAGTCAAAGGGATACTGTGGGTGACACTGAATTCTTGATTTCTTGTCCCAGATTCCTGTAATCCAGATTGTTCCTCTGCCAGACACCTGTAACCTTGTATGTGTAGCGCTGGGAGAGCTGGAGATTGGAGAAATAAGGTTTTGTATTTATTTCTTACTAGTGCTTTACACTCTGAGTAGTTGCAGCTCAAGTCCATATGAGAAGTGTTTGAAATTATCTTTTTACTAATGTGGCACTTTCTCAGTTGTTTTAACAGCTGGAAAATATGGAAGGGATTTCTAAAAAAATCAACTGTAAAGGCCTGTTTATTCACCTGAGAGTGGCAGACTGAACACAGGCTGATCTGTGTATGCCACTGCATGGCTTCCTCCTGTCATGGTGTGCTTGTCTCTTGATTTAGGCTCTTACTTTATTCTTCTGAGACTGACTCATTCAAGCACTCCCTAGTGAAAACTGGGAACATAAAAGCAGTTGTTGGGCTGAAGGACCAGAGGCTGGTGAGCAGCAGCAGGACCATGCAGGAGCAGCAGCTGGAGATGGTTTTTCTCTCAGAGACAGGGGGGTGAGTCTGGAGGTGCTGCTTTGGAGCTCTCCATGTGGTGGGTGTGATAAAAGTGAGTAAACACGTTGGATGTAGAGCAGTGTCATTTTCCTCTTGCAGAACTTTTTGTTTTACCTGCTCTTCTATGTGCTGGTCTCCCTTTAGGTGCAAGGAGAGGCAGACTCTGATGGCTCCTGATGAAACTGTTACAGCCTTTGCTGAAGTGGAAGGGATGAGAGAGGCCTTGGTGGGCACCACTGCAGGGAACAGTGTTGTGGTTTGGTGAGTGTTTCCTCTGCCACACAAATTCAGGGATTTGGGGCAGTTTCAGCAGCTGCAGGGTTGTACAGGGGTGCTGGCTGGCTGCTGACCCACAGTGAAATGGTGATTGTCAGAGGGCCTGCAGTGTGGCACCACAGTCACACAGCCAGGGAATGGGCTGTGCTGCTGTAATTCCATTGCTTTTGTATCATCCTCACTACACCCTTCCTGTCTGTTGGCTCGGTTTGCTCCATGTGGAACCAAACCCATGTCCGTCCTGCACAGGGGTGTAACTGATTAGAAATGCGTCAGAATTTGTGTTTTCACCAACTGCAGGAATCTGAAAACAGGTCAGCTCCTGAGGAAGATGCACATTGGTTATTCCTACCCAGCTTCCATCTGCCATCGAGCGTATTCTGACTCTGTACGTACACAAAATCCACAGTTCCTGCTTGGGCTGCACTCACTGGGATGGGGATATAAAGGATTGAAGTTTCTGGAGAATACACTGCAGATAATTGAAGGGTGAACAGGTTACCAGGAGAAATAAATAACCCACGCTGGTTGCTTCAACTCCTGCCTTTCTGCAGAGTGCTAATAAAGCAGGAGCAATGCATCCTGGTGCATTCCAAAGCTGCAGCATGCTGTGTGTGGGAAGCAGAAGTGCTGTGGCCCAGGCCTGGTGCCTGGTGAGTCTCTTCCATGTCACACGTGGGTGCTGCCAGCATTAGAAACCTGCTGGGAATGGTTCCTCTGGACATACGTGCCCAAGGGAATGGGCTGTGTAAAACCAACATTCACACTAATCATCCTTCCCCACTTGCTTCTACCTGTGCTGTGATTCCCAGTGGATTTTTGTGGTTTGTCAAGGATTTGATTGTTTTCAGTGAGCATGTAACCTTTTGGGACAAGAATGTCTTGTCCAATAATGGTGCCTTGAGTCAGACTCTCTGGAGTCTTCCTCAGATTATCCATCCCAGGATATTTCATACTGGTATGTGGCTGTTCTGGGAGCTACTGTTTTCACTTGTGCTGCTTTCCATGGAATTCTTCTTACATTTTTAGCTTGTGGGGATTAAAATGTGACCCAGAAATTTTACTTCTTTTTTGTTTTGAAGTGTCACCTCATCCTATGGCAGGTCTAGCTTTTTGAAACAGGAAGAGAAATTCATAAATCCCTCGGGTCACTGAGCTGTCACTCGGCTGTGTTGCATCAGCCCTTATCAGCCAGCAGCTGCTTTTGCTTTTATCTAATTTGATAAGGAAAGTAAACCATTTCTGTTTTCTTCAGTAAAAATAATGCATCACTGTTCATGGGGCTGTGATTAGAGAGAGTGTAGCAGTTAATTTTTGGAAAATTATTTTGTTTTTTTTCCTCCTGCTGTTGTTTTTAGTGATATATTTTCCTTCTGTATCAGGGCCTTCTGTTTGTTGTTTTAAGCCACCCTCATGCCAAAGAGAGCGAGTCCTGTGGCAGCCCAGCGTTCCGTTTGGTGGCCTTCAACCCCCGCACGGGCCGGAGTGCGGGGCTGATGTTCTCGTGCCTCCCCCCGGGCCGTGCAGGCAGGTGAGTCCCTGGGGCTGGGCCGGGCTGGCTCCTGCAGGGGCTTTGGGAGAGCCCTGAGCAGCGGGGTGGCTCTGGCAGGGATCCAGTGGGGAATTTGGGAGAGCCCTGAGCAGCGGGGTGGCTCTGGCAGGGATCCAGTGGGGAATTTGGGAGAGCCCTGAGCAGCAGGGTGGCTCTGGCAGGATCCAGTGGGGGCTCTGGGAGAGCCCTGAGCAGTGGGGTGGCTCTGGCAGGGATCCAGTCTCCGTCTCCCCGGTGATAAGGGGCTGCACCGTGTGTCCGGTGCACGGGCTGGGGCCGGGGGCTGCTTCCTGCCCTCTTCCCACAGCAGGCTGTGCGCTGACCCCTCGCCCTGTCACCGTCACTGCGGGGACACGGGGCTGGGCTTGGGCCTCTGGCTTTGTCCCCCAGGGGCCGGGGCTGTGTCCCTGGGTTCCTGGGCTGAACCGCTGTGCCTGCAGCATTCCACGCCGCCAGGTTTGTCTGGGGCAGCTGGCTGCAGGCACACGGCCTTTTCCTTCCCGTGTCCTGCATTTTGGGGCATCTCCAGGGTCAGCCTTGAAGTGTCCTTAGACAGGAAATGTGATGGATGTGTGGGAATAGAGGTGGACCAAGGTCTTGGTTACTGAACAGTCATGGAATCACGGCATGGTTTGGGTTGGAAGGGACCTTAAAGACCATCCAGTCCCACCCCCTGCCCCAGGCAGGGACACCTTCCACTAGACCAGGTTGTTCCAAGTCCTGTCCAGCCTGGTCTTGAACACTTGCAGGGTTTTTTTTTAAGAGTACCACTTTTTAAAGAGTACACCTTTTTCAAGTATGCTCTGAGTCTCCAGGAGGATTTCCTTGGCCTGCTCCCTTCCCAGTTGCACTGGAGGAAGAGTCTGGACTGTAGCCTGCCTGCAGTCGCTATTAATCGTTAACTGAGCCCTGAGCTAATTGAGCTGCCAGGCTGTTTTTGCACATCCCCTGCTGCCTGCTGACCCCCGTGTCCCCGCAGGTACCTGGAGGGTGACGTGTGGGACACCGCGGGAGCCGCCGTGCTGACGTCGGGTGCCGTGGCCGTGTGGGACCTGCTGCGTGGCCGCTGCACGGCCGTGCTGCCCGCGGGCCCTGCGGGGCGCTGGGCACTGGCTCGCTGGGCCGCCGGTGGGACCGGGCTGCTGGCCGGGAGCCGCAGCGGGACCGTGCACCTGTACCGGTACCGGCCCCCCGAGCCCGGAGCCGCCTGACGGAGCCGAGCGTGGGTGTGTGCGGTGCCATTAAACGTGCTGCCTTTGGAACGAGCCCGTGTCCTGTGGCTGCTGTACGGGGGACCTGGGGGCAGGACCTGGGGGCTCTCATGGACACCTGGCTGTGTCCCAGGGGCCAAGGAGGACCATGGTGTCCAGGGTGCACCAGCAGGAGCATTTCCAGCAGGTGATGGAGGGGATCCTTCCCCTCTGCTCAGCCCTGTGAGGCATATCTGGAGTGCTGTGTCCAGCTCTGGGCTCCTCTGAGCTCAGCAGAGGCTGTGAAAATGATGAAGGGACTGGAGCATCTCCCTGGCGAGGAAAGGCTGAGGGAGCTGGGGGTGTTCAGCCTCAGGAGGAGACACCCCTGAGAGAGCCTTTGAAGTGAATAAATATCTAAAGGGGGTGCCAGGGAGATGGATCGGGCTCTTCTCGGTGGTGCTGAGCTATAGGACAGGCTGTGGGCATGGGAAGTTCCAGCTGGACACGAGGCAGAACTTCTGTGCAGTGAGCGAGCCCTGGAACAGACACCGGAGAGGGGCTGGAGTCTCCCGCACTGAGGTGTTCCGGGACCGGGATCACGGCCCGGTACAGCCCGGTCCAGCCCGGTCCAGCCCGGATCACAGCCCGGTACAGCCCGGTACAGCCCGGATCACAGCCGGGATCACAGCCCGGATCACAGCCCGGATCACAGCCCGGTCCAGCCCGGATCACAGCCCGGATCACAGCCCGGTACAGCCCGGATCACAGCCCGGATCACAGCCCGGTACAGCCCGGATCACAGCCCGGTCCCGCCCGGTCCAGCCCGGATCACAGCCCAGTACAGCCCGGTCCAGCCCGGATCACAGCCCAGTACAGC